TAAAAAAAAAAGACTTGGAAACTGGAAACAACTGTAAACTGACAAGATTGCTGAACTCCATACAACGCGGTAACTTTTCAAATAAATATCCGTGTTTACACGAGAAAGGTAATATTGGTGATGTAATATTTTTTCTCGTTTACTCGCACGGTGGGTGGGTACAGAGATTTGGGAAATTTATAACGCCCGCTCAAGTATCGGGTTCGGTTGTTTGAAAAAGACTTTCATTTCATTCAATGGGTACATGTAAATGTTTATGTGTGCGTAAGAGATGCGACCAAAATCTCGCTATATAAATATACACTTTTGTTTGTAATTTATTTATTTATTCATTAGTACATATATCGTCACAGTCGTAGAATACTGACGGATCTGATAAATATTACATATAAAGATCCGTCGGTATTCTACACCTATGACGATATGTGTACATGACGGATTTAATACTAAAAGCATTCTCTCCCAGTCAAGTGTCAGAATACTCGAATGTATCGCTAGTAATTATAGATATACACACATACTAATATATATATATATATATATATATATATATATATATATATATATATATATATATATATATATATATATATATATATATATATATAAATATATATATATATATTATATTATACACAATATGAAAATTATATATAGTATTCACTGCTCGGATAAAGTATAAAAGTAACTAAACAAACATAAACTTAATAATAATAATTCCTTAGAAAAAATATTTATAATACTGAAAAGTTCAATATTTTGTTTTGCTAGTAGTTGACACGCTTGGTAGGCGGGTTGGTATCCACACCATCTCTCCACGCCATCCCTCTACCATTTAATCCCCTTAGTCACCCCTTACGATATTGACGAGAAAGAATGGGGAGGCCCCTTCCATGCCGGGACCATACAGCTAACAATATACATGATAGTGAAAAATTCAATATTTATTTTTTACATTCCAAAAAAATATTATTAATTGTTATATTCCTATGAAAATAATTTCCACTCTTTCATACTAAATCATTTGAAAGATTAAAGAAATGTTCCTATATTAGGGCTATACGTTTTGTTCCCTCAGTCCTTTTACGCAGACCACAATGAAAAGAAATGACGATACAATTTATTCTTACCTCATTACTACTTAATGGATACTTAGTAAATAAATAATTTTGTATAATCTTGCTGAATGTAACTTTTTTTTATCAAAATTGACTAGAAGAAATCCTTTTAAGGGATAAGTCCGCCTGTTTACCTAATCTGTATTACAGGTGAATGTACAAAAGCATATTTTTTTTTATTTATACAACTTAGAATGGCAAACAAGCTGACGGCCCACCTGATGGAAAGTGGTAACCGTCGCCTATAGACATGAGAAGTACCATGGACATAACAGAGTATACTGTTTCACCCATGATACTCCCCACGCGTTGCCATTACTGAGGACTCAGGTGTTATTCCTCTGTACCCTGTAAATTCACGCCATATCCCACCCTTCAAACCGAAACACAGCCATGGAAACACAACTGCTTCACGGTAGAAACACGAATGGGACAGAGGTACCCAAGCAATCGACTTTTGTACAAAGTTCTATACAAGTAAAAGAATTTTTAAAATCGATTAATAAGTTTATCTATTATGAATTACATCTTTAGTTAATATTAAATTTAGATATGCAGACATTTATTCTTTTGTTTATATTTTTATGATGTTCAATTGAAATAGATTATAGTGGTTTAATATATATTTAAAAGCAATTTATAAGCAATGCTCACTTGAAACAATGTGCAGTTGGAGCGGTTGTTACGAGTTGCCGTCTTGATCACAGTAACTCTTGTTAACTGCGACGTCGGTTAAAAGGTAGTAAAACTTACGTCGTAACTCTATTTGCATTTGTTAGTGTCGCGGTTTGGGATAATAATCTAATAAAATATAATAGTTTGGATTCGTATAATGGAATTAATTTAATATACACCACGACATGTCTGTGCGTTGGTCTCTCCTGATATGACAAGAATATTTCATTTACAATTCATTATTTGTATTGTTATTTCTATATATATTATATAGATTAGATGTAATATAATTTTCATTATTATTATATTTAAAATATAATATTAATTAAAATTATATTATTAATAATATTTTAAATTGTTCATTATATTTTCACGCACTCACACACATGCATATAATGCACACATGCATGCATGCACGCATGCACACGCACATACACTCATTTAATGGTACAGACGTAAGCCTTAAGGCATTATTATTAATACGATTATGGTAAAGCATCATGTAACGTTAGTAACATTTTAATTAATAATTATATATATAATTACTAATTAAGATATTGCGTTACTAATTAATGATTAATTATTTATTATAGTTAAAATTATTTTTTGCTTACTTTGTTAATAATTTGTTATTATTACTGTGTGTTTTAGTGCAATACAATATATATAAAGACAGTCACAAATTTTGACTTCGATCATAAATATACTGTGACCATCCTAGGCAGTATTCGTATAGAATTGAATAATTTTTTTTTTTCTTAAATCAATGTACTATGGGTTTTACTTTGGTTGCCTTTTAAAACATAATGGATATGAAAGATTGTTTTTATATTTCTTACTAACTCCCCAATACGAACTAATGCTTTTTAAAAATTAATAAATATATTATACGTTTAAATTTTGATAAATGTTTATAAAACAAAAAAAAATATAAAAAAATTTAGTCTTGAAGATATGCGAGTAGATTTTGATAAAACATATCTAATCTATATTATTTCTATTTAACAATACGCTGTTCTTTACAAACAAACATACTCACTTTGATATATACTAAGAATTTATGACTTTATTTTCATAAACATTAATTTAATTCACGTAATATAAATAAAAAATACAATCTGACCCTTCGATTATACAAACCACTCTTATTCAATGGAAATACATGGTTTCAATTCCGATTCAACGTCGTAAGTTAATGGCCAAATGTTTGGAATCTTGCAACAGATGGGACCTTTTCGACCCAATAGGGTCGCAATGTTTTATGTATTTAAGCTATGGGAAACCGAAAGGGTATCGGAGACGAGTTCTTCATTGACCAAATATATAAAGAAGCAAGTATATAAAATACAGAGAAAAAAAACTAAAGATGTATTGAAATTAACGTATGAAAACAATTAATATTAATAAATAGTGAATTATTATTATTTAATAATAAATTAATGTTTTTATACTATTATTACTTTTCTCCATTCAAAGGTTGCGTGAAAAGGATCACTCTTAGCGATAAAGCCGCCCATTGCTTTCTTAGTGTACAATTTTCTTGTAATTGTTTGTATCTATAATAAGTTTACTATTGTAATCTTATGTAGGAAACTATAAAGATTATATATCTATCTATCTATTACTATTTTTAATAAGTCATAAATGTCAATTGTTATTACATATTGATTTTTTTTCCTTTTTGGAATAGTTTAAAAATTAGTCGAGTCTATTAGATTATTGTCGTCTCACCACAAAAAAGTTAAATTCGTGATAGGCAGGTGTTGAACATATATAATTATTAAAACACCTAAATGTCTTATTACATAAGCGAATGTAATATCTCTTTGTGTCTAAAGAAAAGAAATTAAAAAAAAAAGTGTTTAAATAGTAAATTTTTATTAACATAATAATCAACATAATAATTGAAACATAAAATTTCAAATAAACATTAATTACACTGAGTAAACTATATTAAATTACTTAAACAGATCTTTCAATTAACTCTGTTTAGATAGACGGTGTTTTAAATGATTTTTGTGATGAGACCTAATATTATATTACATTTATTAATAAAGAGTATACACAGATATAGTATTTCATATTTATAAAAAAAGAATTTACTTATATTTTGTTTATTTATTTTTAGAAAATAAGATGGAATGAGAAAATCTAAAATCTTTGTGCTGTACCTAAAATTAACATATTTAATTTATAAATATAATTAAAATTAAGATCCGTTTATTGCCAAAAAGAAATAACAAAGACAGAACAGTATATGATGATTCTAAAGAGATTGAAATCAAGTTTGTTAGAATACCGATTATTTCTATTCTATTCTATAATTTTTCTCAAAACCTAAAGTTACTTCGAAATAGAAAACGTAAAATCAGAAATAGTCTCGTTACAGTAAATATTTCCTTTTAAATATTTTATAAATATTATGTATACCATTTATTCTATGTTGAATTACTCGAATAATTAATTATAAATAAATTAAATCTGAATTGAACTAATGAATTCACTTTAATAAAAATTATATATATTGCTTAAAAATATTTTAGTTGTTTGGTCTTTAGTAACAAGTTAAAATGCTCACTTTAATCCTTTAAAAGTTTATTAACAGAGCATTATAAAACTAATCAGCAAAATTTTACTCCATTTATATTTCTCCTATTACTATATGTTATAAGGCTAAATAACTGTAGTTTACAGAAAATAATTTTATTTTCTAATACAATGAAAAAGTAAATAATTAAGTTTTATTTTCAATTTTCATTTATATTTATTTTAATATATTCGAATTTAATTAGTAATTGTAAATGAATTAAACAAATTTTAATTAAATATTATTTATGTTTATAAATTCAATTAATCAACAGCTCAATGAACACATGCACACATTTAAAAAAATACTGTTAATTTTAAACTATAATAACGTTGAAATTAAATTTAAAATCGATAAAACTTATACTTAAATAAGATAATATTTAAAACTGTTGTCCAATATCTAATTAGTATAAAATGAATCTGAGAATAACATTTCAATTAACAAAATAAAATCATCGAAATCGGTTCAGAATTAACGAAGTGTGTCTTCGTAATACACACACACACACACACACACACATATATATACCTAAAATATATAATCAAATTAAAAATCCCCTTCTTTCTGAAGTCGACTGAAAATCGAATTAATAATAAAAAAAAAACAAATCTACTTACAATTTCATAGCGATCACTACCACAAACGACAATCCATATCACGACACGACACGACACAACGACAGCGGACGTGCGATATCGCAACACGTGCGTTTACCAAGCGGCCTCGCACCAATCTGCCGTAGCCGGGACTCTGTCTCCTGATCTATACGTAAGTATATAATATATTTTGTTGACTTATTTTACAAGTGGATAGCGAATCTTCGTATAGACAATACAAAATTTCCAACATTTTGAGTCTAGATTTTTAATAGTGGCATCTTAGATTTTATAGATGGAGTGTCTCCATTTACCAGAGGGAGATTTTACAAAAGTCGTTTTCTTGGGTACCTCTGTCTCATTCGTGTTTCTACAATACACATACACACATACACTCATACATACACACACACACGCACACACACACACACGCACGCATGCACGCACGCACACGCACACGCGCACGCACACGCACACGCGCACTCACACGCACACGCACACGCGCACGCACACGCACACGCACGCACACACGCACGAACACACACACACACACATACACACATTTTATTTTGTATATTCGTTTTCACAAATTTTAATTTTAGCTTAATGCAAGCTGTACATGGTGTCCGAGTTGGGGGCCTGGATTCCTGAGATACAGATCTCTGATCTAGTTTAGGGTCCAGTCTCCCACAAGTTTTACAGACCATTTTAATTATACATACATATATAGTTGTATTTTTTTCATGTAACATTCTGTATGATTTGTGGAGAAAATAAATAAAAAATAATAAAAAAAAATAGATGGAGTGTCTCCATTTACCAGAGGGAGATTTTGTACAAAAGTCGTTTTCTTGGGTACCTCTGTCTCATTCGTGTTTCTACAATACAACTTAGAATGGCAAACAAGCTGATGGCCCACCTGATGGAAAGTGGTAACCGTCGCCTATAGACATGAGCAGTACCATGGACATAACAGAGTATACTGTTCCCCCCATGATACCCCCCATGCGTTGCCATTCCTGAGGACTCAGGTGTTATTCCTCTGTACCCTACAAATTCATGCCATATCCAACCCTCCAAACTGAAACACAGCCATGCAAACACAACTGCTTCACAGTTGAAACACGAATGGGACAGAGGTGCCCAAGCAATCGACTTTTGTACAAAGTCTCCCTCTGGTGTACCATGTAGCTGTTCAAAATATATCCGCAAAACGGCAGCCCATTTGCCTCGAAGTGCGTTCAGAATGGGCGAACGTGTCACTTTGGCTTGTTCGGAAAGGCATAAACCTCAAACTAATTAATCCAAGACATTTTGGTGTGGTATGTGAATTAAAATGGAAGGACAAATAAAGGGAGAAAAGTCTCGGAAACGGTGCTTGTGCGTGAGGGGAATGATTAAAGTGGATAAAGCCAGTTTTATATAGATGATTCCTTCTGTAATCGATTGTGCAAAAATAGCGACAGTTTCCTCTTAGGTTGGTCCCATGCTGATATTAAGATTGAAGTCCCTACATCATTTGTTTATATTATTAATATTTACAACATACACGTTTAATAATTTGATCCCCTTTTAATGTTTTTAGAGCATAGTGTATGCTGTGAGTGCCTCTAAATGTAAGACCAGTTACATCTAATCCACTAGTGTATTTTATTGAAATAAACTTTCTGTATCTTATGTTAATGATCCTATAAATAAATAAATACAGTATCTAGTATAAATATGCTTACATATTGTACAGAATTAAATTGAAAATATTAACGAATTTATGCTTTTACCTCATAAAAGATAAACTTGTGATAGACTACCTATCTTCAATACCAACCTGTTTTATGACATATGTTTATTAAATAAACGAAACTCTGTCTTATAAAATACAATAAAAGGCATTTAAAATAACAATTTTCAATTATTGTAAATAAAATTAAAAATAAACATTATTACACCGTCTAAACTTTATTTAATTACTTAGACTGAGTTTTTTTAATCACTATTTAGACTATAAATACTGTCTGTATTTAAATTATTTTTGTAGTAAGGCTTTTAAACTAAATATTTTCTCCAAAGACACAGGTTCAACCATGTTAAAATAGCGTGTATGATATCTATGTCAAAGTGGATAGGAGACACTTAAATTTTGTTGTTTTTCAACTCATGTTTGTTGGAAAAAAATATTCAATTTTATTAACGGAAAAAAATCTTTTAAATAATGCAATTATTTTAAATTCACACTGTATTAAAGATGACAGTCTTGCGTTATAAAATATCAGTTGACTAGAAACATCTCTTGTTCTCTCGTATTTTGTTTCAAATCCTCTTTTCTATTATTGTTGTTGATAATTGCATTGGCATTATTCATGTTATTATGACATACCTGTATGTGGTTCGAGTTCCTTATCCTTTTTATATTTTAATCATCATCATCATAATCATCTCTGCTATTGACTGCTGAACATGGCCCTCCCCCGCAGACTGCCATTAGACGGTCCTGAACCACCTGCACCCACTGACTCCTTCCTTTTATTTTATTATTTTATACAAATTAATTAAAATTTAAAATAACTTTTTTGAAAATCACTTGCCCTCTAAAAAGAATCATTTTAATTCGTTTGTATTTGTGTTAGGTACACAAATACGCGATTACGCGCCAAGTCTGAATAGATTTTTATAATATTTTTACAATAGATAGGGTTGACATCCGTTTTTGTCTCATATTAATTTTGTGACGATTTAAACTGCCATTTTTTTTCAGAATCAACAAATAGATCAGATTATTGCAACAGATGCAAAATCTAGTTTACAGACATATGTATATAAATGTTTTTTTTTTCTATTTTGTATTCATATATGAATGATATATTTTTCTATTCTATATGACGTCAAATTTTAAACTTAAATAGTCTCATTCTATATTCTATTCTGCAAAATATTGGTCGTTAATTGTGGTGTTTAGTTAACCGACTTCAAAAAGAAAGTGATTCTGAATTCGGTTATATTTTTTTTGTCTTTTACCTCATAACTTGGTCAATTGTAAATTGATTTGGTAAATTCTTTTAGGATATACAGATTGGTCCCATAGCAATTTTATCAAAACCGGTTCAGTAGATTAGTCCTTATATCAAAATAACAGATTTAATCATAATTGAAGTTTTTTTTGTACCTTTTTTGCGGAAATATATATTTTTTTACTGACATAAAAGAATCACATAATAATGTGCAACAACTTTATAATAAATTACTAAAATCCTCATTTATTAAAAAAAGTTAATCCCAAAATTAAATTGAAAGGATATATATAAATATATATATATATAAATATATATATATATATATATATATATATATATATATATATATATATATTATCTATATCGCTTTACGCCTGTACTTTGGTCAAGCGTCATCCGAAGGAATATTACATTGAAATGAGTGAAGAGCCCCATTATGGACAACTGTCAACCCTAAATTATGCCACAGAGTCTTACTTATTAAGGAGCCGAACAATAACCAGGCCAATGCAAACATCGTACGGTTAAGGAGTGTTCGTTTTAAAATCATATTCATAAACTCGGCGTTACGCGACGATAAATTACGATTTTCTTTATTCACGAAAAACAATTTCACGTCCAATTATGCGGTATTGTTGTCGGAGTTTCTCATTTTGCGAAAAATAGGGCGAAGTAAATATGAAATGTTGAGATGGAATCGAAATTTATAACGGTGATCCGTGAATTTTGAACGCTGTGTTGCTAGCAAGATAAACGTTGGATTAATAAAACTAATAAACGTTTAATTAAGACCTTTGTTTAGTTTTATTAGGTTAAAGTGATTTATATTATAAATTACGTTGTGGGATATCTCTAAGTGAGATCAAAATTAGGTTTTTGCTATTTTAATTTATATTATCTAAAAAAGGTTGTAAAGGATAAGCAAGTTGGTGGTAATGAGTTGGTTACATAGCTCGAAGCATTGATAACTAATGGGGAAAAAAAGTTCTTGAGTGGCGACTCCGTACAGTCAAACGCAGTATAGAACAATTCCCAGCTAGATGGAGTGACGACTTCGAATGCATTGTGGAGAAAGTGGATGCAGGTGGCTCAAGACCGTTTCTTATTGCAGTCTATGGGGGAGGCTTCTGTTCAGTAGTAGACAGTCAATGACTGATATGATGATGATGATGACGACGACGATGATGATGATGAAATTATATTATAAATTACATTAAATTATATTATTAATTTAATAACAATCCCTTTCTCCCCTCTATGTCGGGATATATGCAGCAAGGGGGTAGTTTATCACAGAGAAATAAGTGTATAGTAAGTACAAATTGTAACTTTTCTGTATAAATCTATTGGGAATACCAAATGCGGAATTTACGGCCGAAATGTTAAGACAGTAAATTTAGCTTTACTTATACTATAATATTCCACCTAACATGATAATATAATTCATACATTTTACTGCTTGCCATATATTTTTTTCAACTTCCTACTTCCATACAAGTCGATTGCTTGGATATCTCTGTCCCATTCGTGTTTCTACCGTGAAACAGTTGTATTTGCATGGCTGTGTTTCGGTTTGAAGGGTGGGATATGGCGTGAATTTACTGGGTACAGCGGAATAACACCTGAGTCCTCAGGAATGGCAACGCATGGGGGGTATCATGAGGGGAACAGTATACTCTGTTATGTCCATGGTACTGCTCACGTTTTACTACTTTCCATCAGGTGGGCTGTCAGCTTGTTTGTCATTGTAAGTTGCATAAAAAAAATATAAATAAAGACTTTTATAAAAAAATATAAATAAAGAATTTTAGCCTATTTAAATAGAGATCCTAGTTAATTCTGAAATATATAAAAAATTATGTGACAATTATATTTAATTTTTAACATTTAAAAGAAAATTACAATAATCAAAAAAGTTCTTCAAAAATTATATAATATATTAAGTTTCTTTAGACAACTGTACTGTAGACAACGTGCAGGTGACACCCCTAGTGTTGCAGGCGTCCACAGGCTACAGTGACTGTTTACCATCAGATTGGCTCTATATTTGTTTGCCACCTTTGTGGTATAAAAAAAAAATACAAAATCGAAGATGTTTTGGGACGATTCGACTTTTT